GTGTGACTGACAATATGACATTTATATATCCACAAATGGTAAAATAATATATCTTTATATATACATGTATAGTATATACACTACCCACCAAAAGTATGATATAAAACATGGGCAAGACCCATTATGTTATAGTACAATGATTATGAAAAACAAATATTAAACAAAAAAGAAAGGACAACCTCTTTATTTCTAGGGACAGTCACTTATTATAATGATGATAATTTAGTACTGACATGAGGTTCAATGTATTGTACAGTTATATATCAGCTGCTGAACCAGGGTGGTAGTGATGGCAATTAAGTCAACATTAGGAGTAAGACTTATAAAACTTCTATTTAATAAGTTATGTAGCTCTAAAGCTCAGAAAGGGGGTGCCCACTTTCCTAAATCCACCTCTGAATATTAAATTTCTAGAAGGATTTGACACTCTTAGAAATTGACCCTGCAAGTGACACATTAATACAAATCTTTTCAAAAAGTGTTATTTTCATTTGATAATTTCAGAATTGACAACAAATGTAACTAACTAACTTTATACCTGTACAATGTTAACTTATTCTTTTATATATGCTAGATTCTTTTACTTTTATTTTGCAGAATTTGCCATCAACTAATTCAACTTTAAGAACAGCAAGTTCAATGGGACACTGAACGAAAAGATACACACATGTAACAGGACTACCTATAGACGACAGGGAACAAATATTGTTTTATTAAATCACAGAAAATGCCATCAATGGAAAGATTTTCTAAAGACATTCTCCTTACTCATCCATCAAATTCCATCTGATGGTCAATTCTCCATCAAGTTTCTATGCATTTTACATGTAATGGAAATATTCCATTGGTTTTCCATCTGATAGCAAAATTACCATCAGTTTTCCATCAGATGGCAAAAATACCATCAATTATCCATCAGATGGCATAAATACCATCAGATGGAAATTATGCCATCAATTTTCCATCATCATGAACACAAATTCCATCAAACCTTTTCCATCAACCATTTTCCAGCATTGATGGAAAGTTGATGGAAAGTTGTTCCATTACTCCATCAACATGATGGAATGTGATGGCATTTTTTCCATCACAAAATTCCATCATGTCTGATGGAAAATCTAGGGAAGGGATATTTCATCTGTCCAAGGACAATCACTAAAAATAAATGGGGAATGTGTCCATGGGACACAGATGATGCCCCCGCTTGCATATCATATAAAGTTATAACTTTAAGACATAACTGAAGAACCGTAAAAGTGACGCTACCCAAATTTGTTATTTAAAAATAAATGGAGAATGTTTCCATGGAACACAGATGATGCCCCCACTTGCATATCATATAAAGTTATACTTTAAGACATAACTAAAGAACGGTAAAAGTGACGCTACCCAAATTTGTTATTGATCTGAGTTTTGTAGTAATAAGTATTGTGTATAAGTTTCATAACATTTGGTTAAGGCAAACTTAAGTTTGAGAACGAAAACGAAAAATTCAGCAATTCTTCCTTTTGTAAAGGGGCATAACTCTAGAACAATATAAGTGACACCACCAAAAATCAAACTTGATCTGTATTTTGTGGTAATAAGTATTGTGTATAAGTTTCATAACATTTGGTTGAGGCAAACTTAAGTTAGAGAACAGAAATGAAATAATTCAGCAATTTTTCCATTTGTAAAGGGGCATAATTCTAGAAAGGTTAAAGTGACACCACCAAAATTCAAACTTGATCTGTATTTTGTGGTTATAAGCATTGTGTATAGGTTTCATAACATTTGGTTGAGGCAAACTAAAGTTAGAGAACGGAAACTTTTCCATTTGTAAAGGGGCATAACTCTAGAACGGTTAAAGTGGCACCACCAAAATTCAAACTTGATCTGTATTTTGTGGAAATAAGCATTGTGTATAAGTTTCATAACATTTGGTTGAGGCAAACTAAAGTTAGAGAACAGAAACCAACTTTGGGACGTATGGACGGTCGAACGAGCAGACAAGGTTAAAACTTAATGCTCCTCCGCTACGGCGGGGGCATAAAAAACAACATTTGCTCACTTTCATCTTCAGCAATGGCCACTTTGGAGTAAAAATCATCTTTAAAGGGGAATAACTCTAAGAATTAACTGACAATCTTATCATCATTCCTTTTTAAAGTTTCTATTTATCTATGATAATTTTGCAGATAATAGGCAAAATATGCAAAAAAAGCATTCTGTGAGTATTGCTTGGCAATACATAATCCCCTTCCGGTTAAAAATTTATTGTAATGGAAGGAAATTCTAACTTGATTTATTACTTGTCATGGTGTAAACTACATAAAAATATCAAGTCAAAATCCTCAAGCATGACGAAAAAAAACTGTTGAAAACTGATTATTTAAGTGAATTTTCTATGTCCAAAGACCATAACTCTGCACAAAATCATCAGACCGGATCAATAATTATCGAATCAATATCTTCAAGAATGACCAACAAACCTACCACTAAATTCTTCAAACAATTTACCAAAGAAAAGGAAAAAAATCCAAAATGTCATTTTGTCTTTTAAAAAATGAGTTATTTCCCTTTGAACAGAAATCTACTAATTAATAAGTATTTCATCAAAATTTTAATTCTAGGGAAAGGGCTTTAACTGAACAAAGAGAAAAGCTAAAATCGTGAAAATTGAACTTGACCTGTAACTTGTCATGATAAAACAATAAACCAAATATCAAATCAATATCTTCAAGCACGAAGAAAAAAAGTCTGGAAAACTGATTTGCCGGACTGACAGATGGACAGACAGACGGACAGACGGACAGAGTGCAAACCTAAAGTCCCCTTCGACTTCGTCGGTAGGGGACTAAAAATGGTAAAAAACTATCATTAACGGGCAATTACTCCAATAAAGGGTCGTTTGAAGATTTCAGCCATGATGCCTAATTTGTAAATCATGTCTTACTGATCATTTTTGCTATATAAAATTTCTATCCATCTATTATGGTTTTCAAGATAATAGGCAAAATTGCAAAAATTGGAAAAAAATCATCATTAAAAGCCAATAACTTCAATCAGGAGTCAAATAACAATTTTGGTCATCTGACTTATTTGTAGATTTTGTCTTTTATCAGTTTTTCCTAAAAGTTTCTGTCTATCTGTTATAATTTTTTTAAAGGCAATATTGTAAAAAAAATAGGTAATTTGTCGTTTAAGGACAATAACTCCTATAAGAAGTCATCCCTTTAGAAATCATACCTTTAGAACCAGTTAAAGTATTTTCAATGGCAGAGTGACAGGTTACTTTTGTCATAGGCACATGAAAATGAAAACAGCTGCAATATGTTGAAGGACTTGAACCTTGATAAGGCCAAAAACAATCGTGCAATAAATTTCCTGACAGACCACATAGTATGGCTCCGCAAATAACGAAAATTTATATAATACTGCAACCAGACTATCTGATATGATTTTTGTCCCATATTGAAACAATATATTCCAGATTTTAAAAAAGTATATTAAACTTTTGACCTTCAGACTGGACAATTTTTAAAAGGAAAATTTTATCTAACCCTTAATATACATATTCTTGTCTCAAAAATGATTCGTTTTGTATTTTTAATTTCATTTTCTAATGTATCAACCATAATATCTAACATAACAAATTAGGTAATAATTTCCCAAAAATGAAGGACCTACAAATTTTTGGAAGGACCAGCAAAAGTTTGATTTCTATCAGTTCTTGGTCTGACAGAAAAATTGAAGTTTTACAAAAAAATCTGATTTAATAAAACTTTTTGTTCTATGTATTCTGTTGATATTTTCTACATGTTCTCTTGATGCTTTCATTTGCCAAATAGATAATATAAGTAAACAATTCTTATTGTAAAACCATTCAATGCAAAGATTGATTCTATACACCGATTTGTGATTTATTTTATGTTGATCTGAGATACATGATTGTTTGCTGTTATCCAAAGCCATACTTTGACCTATATTGGTTTACTTTTATAAATTTTGACTTGGTTGGAGAGTTGTCTCATTGGCACTCATACCACATCTTCTTATATCAATTTAATCCTGAATAGATTCAAAATCTTCGATTAAGATACTGTTACTAACACTGGGGTAAAAGTTTTCATAAATATCATCATGCATTGTTATTTGTTTGAACTCACTCTTAACATCTGTTTTTACCTTGTCAATGAGAAATTCAAATCTTAGCACCACAGAACATATCTAAACAACATTGTACAGCCAGATTCACCCAATATGAAAAATACCAGGATATAACAAGAAACTTGTAAAAAAAATATTTGATAATTAAATAGCCAAATTGGTTTTATTTACCCAAAAAAAATACCACTTATAAATTATGTGCTTTAGGGAAAAATCAAATATTTTTATTTAAATTACATGTCAAAGTACTGTTTTATTTCAAAACTTGATATAATTTTCATATCACTTTCCAATTTATCTTAAATTTGTCTACTTAAATTTTAAACTGTTTTACAAGGTTCTTATGTCATTTTTGCAATACTTTTATACGAGTTAGCTTTCATTGTGCATTTTGTAATAAATAATATATATACCCGGTACACATAACATAATGTAACTGTGGGTCTTTTAGAGAAAACTTTAAAAACTGTCTATGAAATTGTGTTTCCCAAATTGTCGCCTCATATGTTTTGGGGCTATCACTCATATTTGTCTTAGTGTTTATTTGAATATGACAAAAAATTCTATCATAATTTATTCAATGGTTGTGATATATCATATTTTCATATTCTTTGTCCTGCGATTTGATTCTATTATTGTATGTATATACGTTGTAGTATAAACTTAACTGGCTTAAATCTAATTATAATGCCATTTTAAAAAAAACTTTGAAGATTCATTATAAAGTTAACTGCAGTCATCTCCCCTGAAGCTTTATCAACTAAAATACTTCAATCACTAACAACTGTTAAAATATATCTAATATGAAGACAATATACAAGCTTTATAAACAGTTTTTTCCATATATATACCTTTATAATATTCAATTGGACTGATCTGTGTAAGAACAAAACTATAATGACAGGAATAGGTGGAATTGATATCTGTAAATGTGACATTCGGAAAAATTATGTTGTATTCATTCTCGTTTATTTCCAAATCTATCGTTTGTTTATGTGGTGGTAGAACATCTCCGTTAAAGGTAAGCTTGCTACCAATTGGCCTATCTTGGTCCCATCTAGGTGTACCTTGATAACAATTGTGTCTGCAAATCAGCTTCATACGTTTTCCAACTTGTAATGGTCCAGAAGGAGTTACTACCAAATCATTTGAAACTAAAACAAAATACATAAATTATCTATTTAAAGTTAAACAATCTTAACCTGGAAGTTTCAAATCAATATTCCTTCAATCTCTGGTATTACTTTGTCAACAAAGGCTCATTGCAAATAAGACAAATTGCATTATAAGGTCTGTGGATATCTCCAGGTGTGCAACTTCCTCCACTGATAAAAACTGGCAGCCATGATATAGCCAAGAGTGCTGAAATTTGCATTAAACACCAACAATCAATCAATCAATCTTATTCTTTAATTTGACAAATGTGGTGTATGTTAACTTTAAACACAGAATACTTTAAGGAAACAAAATACAATGCATGTACTACATCCAGGTCCTTTGGTGTCTGGTGAAAAGTTGTCTTATTGGTAATCAAACCAAATCTTCTTTTAAAATTCTATATCTATTCTCAATACGAAATTGTAGAGAGGAGATCAACATAACATTCAAAAAAGCAATAAAAATTATATAGTGCATGTTAAGCATGGAATTTATAAGTTATCAGAGGTTTAATATTTATGTTGTCACCATTGCATTTATTCATCCTGCTTTATGTGCTGGATAAAAAGGCCATTCAGGATCATGGGGACTTTGTTATATATATTTATTTTTTACAAAAATGCAATGGCAGTCATCTTCTTCATGACATAATTATACTATGGGATCAGATGACCTGTTGTTGCTGCTTAATATTGTCAGACTTTTTTTGCTGGTAAATATAAACAAATCATAAAATATATACACTTTGGAAGTTCTTTTCATACGAAGAAGTATAATGAAGTAAGGCTCATTTATGTACTAATGAAGAGTCAGAATTTAAATTTTGGGTAGAAAGAAACTAGTACCCCTCATACATGCATTTTAGTTGCTGTTGTGAAATATAGTATTGAGACAGTGACATTTTGAAATTTTTGGTATATGAGTCATTCACGCCCCTGATGCAACTGCATACCAAGTTTGGTTAATCTAAGTTTTACAGTACAAAAGTTATGAGCTGGACACAAATTTGAGAAGGAGTTACTTCAATAGAGGTAAAATGTAAGGTCAGAATGATCTGAATTTGGTATATGACACACCCGAGTCTGTGATTCATCTGCATACCAAGTTTGATCAACCTTTGTTCAATGATACAAAATATATGACCCGATCACAAAGTGGACCCTGAGCCCATGATGCATCTTGCATACCAAGTATGATCAACCTAAGTTCAAAAGGTACAAAAGATATGCGCCGAACACAAGTTGGACAGATAGACAGAAGGATGGACGAACGGACAGACAGACAGACAAGGTGATTCCTATATACCCTCCAAACTTTATTTGCGGGGGGTATAATAATACTGGAAATGTACCATTGTAAAAACCTAGTGATGCTAGTAGACCATGAACCATAACAATGGTAACAAAATTTTCCGACTATTCTAACAAGAGGCTTCCAAGAGCCTGAATAGCTCACCTTGTTAAAATATGCCATTTTTAAATTTTAATTTTATTGCAATCAGTTATGTTTGCCTATTTCTAAATCTATTAAGTGGAATTTTTGTAGATCTTGTATTGATGATCATTCTTACTGTTAAAATTTATACCTATCTATTGAATTTTTTTTAAATAATTGTCAAAATTATAGAAATCAGTATAAGTAGTCAGTTGGAAAGTTCGGTCCTGTTGACTTATTTTTAGATCTTATTGTTTTGAACAATTTTTGTTATTACCGGTGTCATATGGTATTTTAAACCCCATGGTAAATTGAACCCACCTGTATGGAAAATTGACCTCCATAGTAAATTGAACCCCCCTGTTTGTTTTATTCTAGATGATTATAAGAACATTATACATTATTCTAAAGCTTATCATAGATTAAAAATCATTCATACAAGAAGGGGAGGTCAATTTTCCATGATTGGTTAAAAGAAATATCTTTGCTTGGTATAAGTGCTCTGAAGTCTTTACCAACAAAATTTCATTCAAAATACTTATTTAAGCATTATAACTAGACCATGTAGCTTGAAGGCTTTAATTATTTGAAATTAAAACATATATGTATATATATATTTATTTGGCAATCGCCAATGGCAGTCAGCAGGGTTTAAGAACATCAGTTGTTCTACCTAGTTAGTCAAATGCGTTTTGTTAAAATAGACTTTTTCACTTTTTTTGGTCTTTTGGAAATTGTTGTTTGTGCTGTATTTAGACCCCTCTACCAAGAAATTTGTTTTACATGCACACGTATAAAAATTGCGGTTTTTATCCAACGCAATCATAGGTTTGAACCTTGTTTTCAATTTAGACTTTTATATATTTTTTCATTTGGGCTTGTATTATATTTTCCTTCGGGTTTATATGATCCGTTCATCCTATTTCGACTCTTTAAAATTCAAGAGTCTATCCTAAATTGAGGTAAATTATATGGCCTTCCAAGTACCGTTTCGATCCCTAGCATCACTGAAGAGACATTAATTGTCGAAATCCGGATATGGTGTACAAAATTTTGCACCTCATGTTTGTGGTATACCATCTTTTCCACAAGTTTATTGTTTTCTGTTTGGTATTTAATTAATATTGAGATCCATTTTGTTAGATCTGGTGATCAATTTATTTGGCAATCGCCAATGGCAGTCAGCAGGGTTTAAGAACATCAGTTGTACGACCTGTTAGTCAAATGCGTTTTGTTAAAATAGACTTTTTCACTTTTTTTCGTCTTTTGGAAATTGTTGTTTCTGCTGTATTTAGACCCCTCTACCAAGAAATTTGTTTTACATGCACACGTATAAAAATTGCGGTTTTTATCCAACGCAATCATAGGTTTGAACGTTGTTTTCAATTTAGACTTTTATATATTTTTTCGTTTGGGCTTGTATTATATTTTCCTTCGGGTTTATATGATCCGTTCATCCTATTTCGACTCTTTAAAATTCAAGAGTCTATCCTAAATTGAGGTAAATTATATGGCCTTCCAAATACCGTTTCGATCCCTAACATCACTGATGAGACATTAATTGTCGAAATCCGGATATGGTGTACAAATTTTTGCACCTCATGTTTGTGGTATACCATCTTTTCCACAAGTTTATTGTTTTCTGTTTGCTATTTAATTAATATTTAGATCCATTTTGTTAGATCTGGTGATCAATTTATTTGGCAATCGCCAATGGCAGTCAGCAGGGTTTAAGAACATCAGTTGTTCGACCTGTTAGTCAAATGCGTTTTGTTAAAATAGACTTTTTCACTTTTTTCGGTCTTTTGGAAATGGTTGATTGTGCTGTATTTAGACCCCTTTACCAAGAAATTTGTTTTACATGCACACTTAAAAAAATTGCGCTTTTTTTTTATCCAACGCAATCATAGGTTTGAACGTTGTTTTCAATTTAGACTTTTATATATTTTTTCGTTTGGTTTTGTATTATATTTTCCTTCGTGTTTATATGATCCGTTCATCCTATTTCGACTCTTTAAATTTCAAGAGTCTATCCTAAATTGAGGTAAATTATATGGCCTTCCAAATACCGTTTCGATCCCTAACATCACTGAATAGACATTAATTGTCGAAATCCGGATATGGTGTACAAAGTTTTGCACCTCATGTTTGTGGTATACCATCTTTTCCACAAGTTCATTGTTTTCTGTTTGCTATTTAATTAATATTAAGATCCATTTTGTTAGATCTGGTGATCAATTTATTTGGCAATCGCCAATGGCAGTCAGCAGGTTTTAAGAACATCAGTTGTTCGACCTGTTAGTCAAATGCGTTTTGTTAAAATAGACCTTTCCACTTTTTTTGGTCTTTTGAAAATTGTTGTTTGAGCTGTATTTAGACCCCTCTACCAAGACATTTGTTTTTCATGCACACGTATAAAAATTGCGGTTTTTATCCAACGCAATCATAGGTTTGAACGTTGTTTTCAATTTAGACTTTTATATATTTTTTCGTTCGGGCTTGTATTATATTTCCCTTCGGGTTTATATGATCCGTTCATCCTATTTCGACTCTTTAAAATTCAAGAGTCTATCCTATATTGAGGTAAATTATATGGCCTTCCAAATACCGTGTCGAACCCAAGCATCACTGAAGAGACATTAATTGTCGAAATCCGGATATGGTGTACAAATTTTTGCACCTCATGTTTGTGGTATTCCATCTTTTCCACACGTTTACTGTTTTCTGTTTGCTATTTAATTAATATTAAGATCCATTTTGTTAGATCTGGTGATCAATTTATTTGGCAATCGCCAATGGCAGTCAGCAGGGTTTAAGAACATCAGTTGTTCGACCTGTTAGTCAAATGCGTTTTGTTAAAATAGACTTTTTCACTTTTTTTGGTCTTTTGGAAATTGTTGTTTGTGCTGTATTTACACCTCTACCAAGAAATTTGTTTTTTACATGCATACGTATAAAAATTGCGGTTTTTATCCAACGCAATCATAGGTTTGAACGTTGTTTTCAATTTAGACTTTTATATATTTTTTCGTTTGGTTTTGTATTATATTTTCCTTCGGGTTTATATGATCCGTTCATCCTATTTCGACTCTTTAAAATTCAAGAGTCTATCCTAAATTGAGGTAAATTATATGGCCTTCCAAATACCGTTTCGATCCCTAACATCACTGAAGAGACATTAATTGTCGAAATCCGGATATGGTGTACAAAGTTTTGCACCTCATGTTTGTGGTATACCATCTTTTCCACAAGTTCATTGTTTTCTGTTTGCTATTTAATTAATATTAAGATCCATTTTGTTAGATCTGGTGATCAATTTATTTGGCAATCGCCAATGGCAGTCAGCAGGTTTTAAGAACATCAGTTGTTCGACCTGTTAGTCAAATGCGTTTTGTCAAAATAGACTTTTCCACTTTTTTTGGTCTTTTGGAAATTGTTGTTTGTGCTGTATTTAGACCCCTGTAACAAGAAATTTGTTTTACATGCACACGTATAAAAATTGCGGTTTTTATCCAACGCAATCATAGGTTTGAACGTTGTTTTCAATTTAGACTTTTATATA